AAGCTGTCTTTTTAATGTGTAAAAATTGTTAAAATTATAAATTAGTTTATTAAAAATTAAAAATATGTACTTTTTCATGTTCTTTATTCATTTTCTTTAATTTATTTTTTCAAAAAATTTAATTTCAAAACAAAACATCTGTTTTGTTTACGGTATTTTTACACGATGTGTATTTTACATATGTACTGTCAAAATTTCCATCTGTAAAAGTTGCACATATCGTCTGATATATATGAAACATTGCATGTGTTATACTATGTTCACATATCCATGTTTTTAACGTGTTTTTGGTGTTTTGAGTTTAAACACAACCGTTCACATATTAAATTACCGTGTTTTTTTGCTTTGAAATGTTTTTCCGTCTTAAACATTTTGTTTTAAAAATTATGATTTTCACTTAAATTACACTAAAGTTAATATTTAAACACAATTATTTATTAAATTAAAAAAAAAATTAAAATCTTTTCAACAACAATATTAATATTTTTTGTAATTTCAATTTTTATTTTTGACTAAAGACGCGCACAGTTACAACTGTTTGCACAAGTTTTGTAGTGTCTCCTACTGTGAGTGCGTATTGATGAGTAGTTGACTAGTTCTGGTACAAGTTGATATTGTATTTTTTCAAACATAGGTAGTGTGAGTGAGTACAGAGAGAATAAGAGTAACATACTTGTTTTGCTATACTTTAGCAAACAAATAAAATAGATAATGATGGTTGTACAACAAATAACTTATTGTATGCTGCAGCGCATAAAAACACAGTTGTTTAGAAATATTTTTTTATTATTTTAAAATGTATATTCGGTATCTCGTGATCTACAGGAGATATCGTAGCAAAATTTAACACAGTTAGAGCTTAAAATTAGTCACCTCGACTCAATTTTTTTAAAATCAATAAAAATGCATTTATGATCCGAATTAAAAAAAAAAAAACATTTTAATGGAAAAATACAAAACAAAACTTTTGAAAGGGTCCTTAGTTTCCTAATTGAAAATCCTGATCTCAGTACAATTTGAAAAAAAATAAGTTTTTAAATTTTGTCGAAATTCATCTCAAATATTCCCTAAATTGTAAAATTTGTAAGAAAATTTTTGGTCCGCAAAAAGACTTTTATTTAGCGCATTACACAGGACACAAAGATTTTGAAATTTTTCTAAATATGTAAAAATTATCGTAATTTTAAGAAAAGTTTACAAAAATATTTAGCGTTTTACTTAATGACTTTTTTAATTTATGTAGGAATTCTGAAGCACTAAAAGTAATTCTGTGGAATAAAAGTACTTCAAACAGTTTTATGATTATTTTTTCTAAAAAATTTAGGAAACTTTTTTTACAATTTGTACTGAGATCATTATTTTCAATAGGTGTGAAAATTATTTTTTTTTTCGAGTTCACTACGACAATACACATCATTTGAGACTTGTGCCCACTTTAAATCACAAAAAGCTGTTTCTAGTTACACTTTTCTTTAGGTCAGATATTAGGCTTAGACTTTTTTTGAGATTTTTTGAGAGACATTTTTCAAAATTAAAAAAAAAATGTTCTTTTAAATGTTGTATTTTAATTTTTTTATCAAATAAATGATGATAAGGAATATCTATATATTTTCTTTTCATTAATTATTGATTTTATGTCGATTAAAAAATATAACTCTAGAGACCACCTAAAAATATTTATGTAAAATTTAATTTCAATATCCTCAATAGTTCACTAGAATTATTTTCAGAAAATGTTGAATTATTACCAGAAAATACTGATTTTAAAAAAATTCAGTTAAACGATTAATCGAAAATTTTAAAATGGTTCAGTTCATTTTGTATTTGAATCATAAAAATGTATAATCAAATACGTATTTAACAACAACAAAATTAGAAACAAATAAAAATTTTGTGTATGAAATCAATCAAAAATGAAACTTCAATAAATAAAATAATTGAAAACGAGGTTTTGGTAATTGAAATCGTTTTTCAGTTTAAATAAATATTAAATAAAAAACTAAAAACTGAACTAGAACTAAAAATATAAAAATATAAATAAATAAAAAAATTAAAAATAAATATAAAAATATTCACTAATTTATTATTCATGTATCACATATTTTTCTTTTGTTTTGAAAAAATTTTATTTAATATAAATAAACATACTGCATCAATATAGATTCTTTGTATTACTATAAGTAACAATAAATAGTCAAAAATATTTGTAGTACAACAGTTATTTGAGAGCAAGAAACAAATACAATACAGTATTCAACTCAAAACCATAAGCAACTGGTATCAAAGTATATTAATAAAGTAGCGACATCTCTTGTTGTACAACAACATCTACAACAACCACATGTATTTTGTTTTTGGAATAATTTAAGATTGTGTCAAAATAAAATTTCCTGGAACTACAATGTGAACAAAACATAAATAAAAAATATTACTTTTAAGTTAAAAATATTAACTATTTAATTATATTATTATATATTATACAATTTATTACACTTTTAAACTACTTTAAAACCACTTTTAATTAACTTTTTCTACTTTTCACAAATTTTAACAAATAGCAAAACACAATTTAAAAATGGCGACGTAAACAATGTTAACAATTTTCAAAACAAACTTTGACAACTTGCTTCATTTATCTAGTTTAAAAAAATAGTCAGCTGTTCAAGTGATGCTACTTTATTAATATACTTTGACTGGTATTGTTTTTGTGGATAGAGTGGATGAGCACAAGCAAAAGCATACAATATCAGTTACACTCATTCTCTCATTTATATTTATAGTATTAGGTACTCACCATGGTGTTTTTGTTTTACAAATACTTTGTGGTGTAATACTGCACGTCTTTATTTTTGACATTACTTTTTGTTCTAGCCAAGGCGAATTCAGATAAGGTGGTGTTATTCAATCAGCTGATAATTTTTTTCTTAATTCGCCTGGTTTACGTAGCTGTCAAAGTTTGTTATTGTTTACATTTTTATATTTAAAAATTTTCGTTAAACGAAAAAAAACTTCGTTAATATTTTGAATTATTTATGTAAAAAATCTAAAAATACCAATCATCTCGTAAACAAATATCATTTTATTTAAATAATGGCATAATTGGTATGTATACAAATATGTTATTTAGGAAAACTATTTTTTTTCTATTAAATGTTAACATATTAAACAATATTGTTATATATTTTATATTAACATTGTGTAGATAACGTGATTAACTAAAAAAAATCTCTTCCGGAACACTTTATATAAAGAAACACATATGAAGAATTTCGCCGAACAGCGTCAGCTTACTTTTACATATGGCTTAATTTTGAAATCTATTAAATGTTAACAAATTAAACAATATTGTTTTATATATACACTATGTTGATAAAGTGATTAACTAAAAAAAGTCTGTTCCGGAACGCTTTATATAACAAAACCCATATGAGGTATTTACCCGGCCGGCGTCTGCTACATTATGGCCAAATATTGAAAATTACTCCGCCGGAGTAGAATTATCCATTCGCAACAAAGATTCATTCATTCGTTATATATATTTTTTCGTTAATATGTACTTTTTTATGTTTATTTTCAGAATATATTTTCTTCACAAATTTTAATATCTTTATCTTTATTTTTAATAAAATATAAAAATTTTACAAAAATTTTCATGAAATAAATTCGCCGTACTTATGGTTTTTGACATCTACGTAAACCAAATGCAAAAACAAAATACATGTAAAATGAAATCTATTAAATGTTAACAAATTAAACAATATTGTTTAATATATACACTATGTAGAAAAGTGATTAACTAAAAAAAGTCTGTTCCGGAACGCTTTATATAACAAAACCCATATGAGGTATTTACCCGGCCGGCGTCTGCTACATTATGGCCAAATATTGAAAATTACTCCGCCGGAGTAGAATTATCCATTCGCAACAAAGATTCATTCAATCGTTATATATATTTGTTCGTGAATATGTACTTTTTATATTTATTTTTCACAAAAAAAAAAATAAGTTTTACTTAACTTCAGGCACTCACTTAAATTTTGCAAATTAATCTGCCGGAATAGAATTTTTCGTTTGAAACAAACATTATTCAATTCAGAATATATTTTTCATCAAATGAATTCGCCGTACTTATGGTTTCTGACATCTACGTAAACCAAATGCAAAAACAAAATACATGTAAAATGTTGTTGTTGCAGAACTGCCACCACCTGAATCTGAATTCGCCTTGTCTGCGATCGTGTTGTGTACATATAATTTGTCGAAAATCTTCGTTGTCAGAGCAATACTAGCGCCGACGTCTGTTTTAAACACACTATGGCAGTGGTGCTCAAACACATACTAACTTAGAATAACATAGTTTTATTTGTGTTGGTAAAGCAGCAGAGAACAGAATTCAATTCAAAATAAAAGTATACTAATAAAATGACTACAAACTATAAATTATATGCTGATTGTCAAATATATATTGTGGATTTTGACAGCCAGCGTATATCAAAGTCTATATATAAAAACTATCAACTGTTCTCTCATATTCTCCTACATTAATTCGGCTTTCTCAAAATTTTGTTGTTGTATTTATGTGTGTATTTTAAAAACGTCGCGCACAGACATTGCTTCAACAAGTGCTGATCAGCAACTGATTTGATTTTGTTTTTCAAGTTTAGAGCAAACCAACTGATATTGCTCATTAGAAAAAAGAGAAGAATTAAACCTATAGTGTATGTGTATCAACTTAGCGTCATCAGAATTTTCTTACCCTATCACGCGTGCTATGAAATGGCAATCTTGAGCTCCTCTGCACAATGGTAAAGGGCGATCCCTACAAATATTTTTGGCACAAGCTTTTTCTTGTTGGATTGATAAAGGAAAAATAACCTTTTCATATAATATATTTTTGGGAAATTATACAACATTAATTCTTGGAGGATTAAGAACACTCAGTCTTTAGTGCTGAATACGTGGGATACAATTTTCCTTGGATTTTATGTATATATGTTCATATGGATTGCCAGGATATTGACGACGTTGCGTCTCAAAAACAAGTTACTGACAACAAGGTTGAACAGCAAAATTCCAAGAGGAGACGTAAAAGCATATCAAACCCCAAAAACATTAGCAGCAACAGATTAAGTCTCCTAGCTGACCTTGACATAGAGAGTAATGATGACTCCGCCGGCACTGCAAGGAATTACGGCACTGTTAACAAGCCAACTAATTCCACTTCAACGACACCAACTGGTAACAAATTCTGCCCCCCTATATTTTTGTACAATATTAATGTACAACATCTGGTGAGCCAACTGGAGGCGAAATCACCCAAGATAAATTTTAAAATAAAGAATGTTAACAGAAATAAATGCAAACTTTATCTTTCAGACGCCACTGTCCATACGGAAATGATGGCGGTACTTAAGGAGAAGAGGATAAACTCCTATTCATTCACTCCTAGAGAACTGAAGCAAATCTCGTTAGTTCTACGTGGCCAATATCACGGCACTGACATCGAGGAACTAAAATCACACCTGGATGGGATAACTCCCGATGTAATCTCAAAGGTTACGAAATTTACAACCCCATACTCTATGAAAAACAATTGTGACACAGGTCTTTTTCTTGTAACTTTGCACCCCGGCAAGAACTTGAGCGACATATCGCACGTAAAATTCGTACTTAGCCAGGCAGTTGTCTGGGAAAGGCCAAAGAAAAAGGATAGAGAAATACAGTGTAGACGATGTCAACATTGGGGTCATATGGCAAAAAATTGTAATTCAGACTATAAATGTGTGAAATGCGACCAACATCATCTGCCTGGTGAATGTAACCGGAATAAAAACGACAACTCAAACCCAAAAATTGGCGAGGCTGCACATTCTACAAAAATTATGTGTCGAGAAAAAAACAATGCCTACGTGAGGCTCAAGAAATTAAAAGTGCTGCTAGCAGCAACGTCAACAAATATATTTCATCAGCAGTTAATCCAGCCAAATCATTTGCAAGCTTTTTTCATAAGCCACCTGCGGACAACAAACCTGTTCAACCGTCAATTGTTGAAACATTTTTAAAACTTGCTGAATTTTTTCTCGAGCCAGAAGCACTAACTCTAGAACAAGAACTCAATAACTTCATGAACGTGTACAAAAATAGGCCAAAAGTAGAAGCCGAAGGGGAGTTCCTGCGCCTTTTTAAAAAAGTTCAACAAGTTCATGGGCCATAGAATCATCAATTTTTTAACATTTAACGTCAGATCTCTCTTAGAGAGAAGTCGTCAAATAGATCTCACTAACTCCCTTAACAGCAACAAAATAGATATCTGTTTTCTACAAGAATGCCATCTCCGTAGACAAAAAAAAGTTTTCTTGAATAACTACAACTTTATTTATGATAACTCCCCCATTGGAGTAGCCATTGCACTTAAAAATAACATCTCATACAAAAGAGTTGGTATCGACGACCTAAGTATTTTTACAGAACTGGCTTGAAGACCATTCGTTGGATATCACAAGGATTTGTCATAACAACCCGTCATTTTCAAGCGCAAATTCATTTCTAGATCATTACCTTATAAGCACTTCCTTGATGAATAATGACACCCCCAACTACAAGATCTCATCCCTCCCGACGTTCTCGGATCATTTTCCATTGAAATTGGAAATTAATATGAATGCTTCCTACAAGAACACCGATTGGAAACGTTTTCAACTGGACTTAACTATCAGTTCTAATATTTTAATGCCACCGAATAACAGAAATTTGGAAAACACTGAAATTGAACAAATTATAGTAGAATTTAATGAATGTTTCAAGTCTTCTCATGATCTACATACAACGAAAGTAGAAATTAAGAACGGCAAATTTTTATATTCCGACAAAATTAAAAATTTTTATAAGATTAAATATAGATGGCAAAGGGAATTGAAGAAAATATATCATCGCTATGGAAATAGACTGAGTAACGAATATAATATACTTTCTAAGCAAATACAGTTGCTTAAAATAATTATAAAGGATCTTGTTAATATGGAGCAAGCAGACATTTTTTACAACAAACTAAAACATATCAAACCTGGACCTCATGCTTTTAAACAGGTATATAATATTGTTGGGAAACATAAATCACCTTTTTGCCACAATATCTGTATTGACAACGTTACGGTAATCAACAGTGATACATGTTCTGCGTATTTTAAGGAATACTATTCCAACATATATACGAAAAAACTTCCTGTTAATCCGGTGGCCGATCTTGCTCATCGTGTAGGCTCGCATATTGAGAATATATCACACCATATATATTCTTTCAACAGTGAGTTCAACTCTCTAGACAATGAGGATGCGTACCATTTACAAATGTCCACAACATTAAATCGATCATATCGAACATAAAAAACAAAAAATCCAGTGGCCTCGACGGCATTTCAAATTTCTTGATAAAAAATTCCCTGACATAACTATAGAGCTTTTGACTATTCTCTTCAACAACTGCCTCAATAATTGCTACTTTCCACGGGCATAGAAAATGGCGAAAATTTTGCCAATCAAGAAGAAAGGCAGTTGTAATAGAGCTGAGGACTTCCGTCCAATTTCACTACTGTCAAACATTGTCAAACTGCTTGAACATGTAATCAAATCAAAACTTGAAAATGAATTTCTGATCGAGCCCATTCCATCATATCAATTTGGGTTTAAACGCCATCATTCCACTCAACACGCCCTAATGAAATTCCAAGATGATGTAACTGTGAATCTGAGGAAAAGATGCTGTACTCTGCACAGTGGTATAGGAAAAAAAAGAGGGAAATAATTCGGTAACTGCTAAACGGTATGCACAAAGAGGAGGTGTTGTCGAGTTTAGGTTTTGAATTTGGACCTTATAGGCCAACCAGGGGCCCGGCGGGGGGTCCTCAAATTAGCAGACCTCGGCTATGTTAAATTTTTAAAACGATCCTATTTCTTCATTTGAGTTCCGATAGCAGTAAATTATCTCTTATAGTTTAGGAGATATTCGCATTTGAAAATTAAAATTTTAAAATTTTTACCGTTCTTACTTTAGTTTTTTTTGATAATAGCGGGTCCAAATATTCCCGATTTTCGCCATTTTTTTCATTCGCTTAACAACAAGTTTATATATCAAGCAGTGAAAGAATTATGTAAAAATCATGACTGAGTCCAAAGTTACAGGCATTTTAATTTAAAAAATTAAAAAAAGGCGATTTTTTGTCATTTTTTTGGGAAAAAAGTATCTTTTTTTTTTTAAGTTATCTAAAAAGTTTCTAAGAAGATGTATATAGAATTTATACTTTTTGGAAAGCTGACTTTACATAAAATACGATAAATGAAACAAAACCTAAAAATTTTTGATACCGAGGGGACCAGGTCCATCCAAGAAAACCCTATTTTTTATGGAAAATTCAATTTTGAGCAAAAATTCTCAAATCGCATAGTCGATATCAAATTATAGTGACCTGTTTTATATGACCCAATATGTTCTTAATCATTTTGTAACGGGTTTCGATAACCCCGCCCCTGGTATGGATATAATAGGCAAAAAACCAAAAAACCCCATTTTTGGGATTTTTTAAAACTTTTTTGGGAATTCCGGGATTTCTAATAAGAAAATTCAAAATTTTTTTTTCAGTTTTTGCGAAGATACAAATTTTTCAAATTGTAATAAAAATTTTATTTATGAATATTTTTTGATGAAATTTTACAGTTTGGTAGATTTTTTTACTCAAAATCCAAAATTAAATAAACATTTTGAATTTTCTTATTAGAAATCCCGGAATACCCAAAAAAGTTTTAAAAAATCCTAAAAATGGGGTTTTATGATTTTTTGCCTATTATATCCATACCAGGGGCGGGGTTATCGAAACCCGTTACAAAATGATTAAGAACATATTGGGTCATATAAAACAGGTCACTATAATTTGATATCGACTATGCGATTTGAGAATTTTTGCTCAAAATTTAATTTTCCATAAAAAATTGGGTTTTTTTTGGATGGACCTGGTCCCCTCGGTATCAAAAATTTTTAAGTTTTGTTTCATTTATCGTATTTTATGTAAAGTCAGCTTTCCAAAAAGTATAAATTCTATATACATCTTCTTAGAAACTTTTTAGATAACTTAAAAAGAAAAAGATACTTTTTTCCCAAAAAAATGACAAAAAATCGCCTTTTTTTAATTTTTTAAATTAAAATGCCTATAACTTTGGACTCAGTCATGATTTTTACATAATTCTTTCACTGCTTGATATATAAACTTGTTGTTAAGCGAATGAAAAAAAAATGGCGAAAATCGGGAATATTTGGACCCACTATTATCAAAAAAACTAAAGTAAGGACGATAAAAATTTTAAAATTTTAATTTTCAAATGCGAATATCTCCTAAACTATAAGAGATAATTTACTGCTACGACGACATTTTTATAGTGCTTGATGAGGAGATTCTATATACGGAACTCAAATGAAGAAATAGGATCGTTTTAAAAATTTAACATAGCCGGGGTCTGCTAATTTGAGGACCCCCGCCGGGCCCCTGGTTGGCCTATAAGGTCCAAATTCAAAACCTAAACTCGACAACACCTCCTCTTTGTGCATACCAAATTTCATTAAAATCGGATTAACCGTTTAGAAGTTACCGAATTATTTTCTCACACTAAATGGGATAGAAATCCCAATAAAAGACAATATAACATACCTTGGAGTTAATTTCAACCAGTGATGCCAAGTGTAGGGATTTTTCCCTTTTTGTAGGGATTTTTTTCAAAAATTTCACGTGTAGGGAAAAAGGGAAAGATTTCTTACTATTGTCAAATTGTAGGGATTTTTCAATTTCATAGTTTTTAACAACTAAAAATATACTCTTTCATGTATTAAACTTTTAAATTAAAAATGAAATCAGTTTTAAGTGTATCGTTAGTAAAAATTCCGCTTGTAATTTCTACAATATTTGTACCTACATATCGCTACAAGACTGGCATAATCCAAAATTCGGCTTTCTTGAACTAAGGTCTTCAAAACATGCGACATACTAAAATCTTTCATATAGATTTATGAAATTTCAAATATGTCTATTATTTTCGATGTGAAATCGATTTTTTGTAAACGTAAAAACTAAAACCCACGTTTTTGTGAATATTTGACAACTAAAAATTTAATTTCAATTTAGATGAGAAACATATTAACCTCAACTATCTGAATCTGGATTTTTAAAACCCCTTGATTTGTTTAAAAGTTATTAAAAAAATAGTTAAATGTCATTAAATATTCATATCCATTTTTCTTGAAACGACTTTTTGGATTATGCCAATCCTGTAGGGCGATATATTCTGACTCCTTATAGATAGAGTAGTCGGGGGCTTAATGCAGTAACTCAGGATTGAAAAAATGAATTTAATGTTCTGAAAATTTATAAAAGTAAACCGCAAAAAGTAAACGCAAAAGTAAACCTTATTTAAAATAATTATTTTATGAAAATTTTTTTGTTGCAGGCACATAAAATAAATTTCTATCACGATTCGATATACTGCCATAAATCTTTCAATTGTTTTTTTTTTAATCTTAACTGAAGAGTCAGGGTTGGAAGATTTGTATGATGTAAAATTGAAAGAAAAAAAATTAAAATTTAAATTCTAGAAATTTTCATTCCTAAAAATTAAAAAAAATACATACATATATGTATATTATAAAACGGAGCTAATATTTTAGTTTTTGATGTTATTTTTGTATTTTTTTAAGATAAACTTTGAAAAAAATGGAAAAAAGTAGTGTAGGGAAAAATGTAGGGAAAATAAAAAGTGGGTGTAGGGAAAAAAGGGATTTTTTCTCATAAGCGTAGGGATTTCTGAAAAAAATCTCCTGGCATCACTGATTTCAACAAACTTTTTAAGTTTAACTGCCATGGACGAACACTTCTGACGAAAACTAAACGCATTGCTTCGATGTTCTCTAGGTTGCTGAATAGTACATATTTTCCCAAAAATACTAAACTCCTCCTGTACAAAGTGGCAATAAGATCCGTCTTAACATATGCTTTTCCAATATGGTTTTCCATCTGGAAAGAAA